CCCTGGCCGAGGTTAATTCCTTGCGGGGCAGTGTCTCGAGCTACATCCGCTGGCCAGTGCCCGTAGTGCCCGTCCTTGCGGAGGAGAACTTTGAGTTCCCGCTCAGTGAGATCGACGCCGTTCCCGAGGGAGAGCTGCCCTTCCTGCTGCCCGCCCCGCCCCCGCCGGCGCTGTCCCCGCCCGCGTCCAAGGAGTCCCCCCTGCAGCTCCCCCTGCTAACGCCAGAGGAGCGGCCTGAGCTAGAGCCCTTTTCAGGCGACCCAGTCTACCTGGCCGAATTCCTGATGCGGCTAGAGACCTTCATAGCGGACCACGAGGATCATTTCCCCGGGGGTGCTGAACGGGTGGCCTTTCTGGTCTCCTTTTTCACTGGCGAAGCCAAGGACTGGGCCGTCTCGGTCACCCAGGAAGGAAGCCCCCTACACACCAACTTCCCGCGCTTCCTGGATGAAATCCGAAAGGAATTCTGTGGTCCCATCCCCCCACGTGTGGCTAAAAGGGCCATCCGCAAGCTCAGGCAGGGAGACTGTACCCTGGGCAGCTATGCAGATGCTTTTCAGTTCCTGGCCCAATTCTTGTCTTGGGATGACTGCCGCCTCCAAAACCAGTTCCTCAAAGGCCTGTCAGAATTCTTCCGCAAGGAACTCTTATGGTCAACTGAAACGGCTGACCTGGACGAGCTGATTCTCGAGTGTGCAGGGATAGAAAGAAAGGTGCGGGGCCCCAAGCCAGTCCGGCTCCCTGGGGTAGGCAACATCTTCTCTTTTGCTCCTAACTCTGTTGCTGATGAAAGTGAAGAGGAAGAGTACTACAGTGAGGATGAAGATGAAGAGGCAGGCAGGCGCAGGCTTTGCCTGAAAGACCAGCAGAGGTGCATGGGGGCTCATCGGCGAGAAGTGAGGGAGAAGGAGGACCAGGAGATGAGGAAGAAGGAGGAAGAAATAAAGAAGAAGGAGGAGAAGGAGATGAAACAGGAAGGGGAGGAGGAGGAGGAGATGAAGAAGGAGGAGGCTGAACATGAGAAGAAGGATGAGGAAGATAAAGGTGAGGATGGGGGCCAGGAACCAGAGCTGGGGCCAGAGCAGGGGCCAGAGCTGGAGGAGACCTATGGTGATATGGAGGAGACCCTGGATGACGCTCAAGATAATGACCTAGAAGCGCTCATAGAGATGGAGGAGCCCATTGCTCACACTTCATCCCATACTTCTGGCTCCACGAGTGGCAACCATGCTGAAAATTTCCTTGGGGCATCTCCTCCCATAATTCAGCCTGGCAGACGGAGGAACCAGAATCGAGTCCCTCTTCTGGAGGGCCTTCCAGGTACCAATTCGCCGTTCTACAGCTCCCCACCACTGATTCGCCGCGCAGGTCGCTTGGGGCAACGCCATATTCGAAGACGCCCCCCAGTGCTATTCCGCCTCACTCCGAGACAGGGGGGGCACCGAGCTGCTCGTGGCCGAATTCGCGTGTGAGTACTGGGGCCAGCCACCTAGAACACACCCTTCTACAGTGTCCCTTGCCCCTGCTATTGCTGCCACACTGGCCCCATCTGCTGACCAGTACTTAAGGGAGTTCCAGATGGCAGAGCTAGAAGACCTGCAGAACTTCACATTGTCTTGCAATGGTGACCAGAGATGACATGTACCTAACCAAGGTCACCTGGAAAAGGAGGGATCAGCGATAGCTATCCTCTTGGCATGTTCTTCACTCAGTCCTGCCACAAGCTGGAGAGCAGGTTTCTGGGCCTGTTCCTATAAATAAACTGGTCACTCTCTGGTATTTCCCTTCTAGTTGTTCCTAACCCTCACCTCTCCTGCATAGTCACCCTGTGTTCTACAATTTTATCCTCTGACTGGCTCAGGGCTTCACCCAATGCCTCACTGATCTGCTCCCATGTTAAAAATGACAGGCTACATACACTGACCACTGAGGCCAGTTACTAGCTATAATCAATGGTGAGCATACAGTATCAAGAAACATACTTAGAAGCCTACACTGGTTTCACACCACACCTGTAGCAGAAGGGTCTGGCAGAGGACTCCACATATAGCCTGGAGACAGTGAGCAAAACCATGTGTCAGATGGATAACCTGACTGAGATCTGTCCTCGACTGACTGTGCAGGCTGGTTCTACTTCCAGCCGTAGAGTTTACCTTCCCACAGACTCCTGTATCAGGGCCCTCAGACTGGCTGGCCAAATCTGGGGCCCTCTCCTCTTACCGCACTGTCCTCCTGGGCATCTCCAATGGACAGAGCCCAATGCAGGCCCTTCTCCTTTCCCTGCTGTTGCCTGAAGAGTGGGCAGTTGGGGGATGGAGGAGAAGAACGAGAAAGCAGCAGCAATGACTCAGTTTGACATTGTAAGCATGACTCTTTCCTCAGGGATGGTGGTCTCCTCCCCACACTAGGCCTTGGACTGTGGCTCCCAGCCAAAGGTGTCTGCGGGAGACTTTCCATCCTCAGGGTTGCGGATGAGGCCTAATTAGCCTTCCTTCTGGGGCAGCCAAAGAGAGACAGAGAGAGCACCCATGGCCTGCTCTTTCACTCTCTTCAACCTCAGGAATCTTTAGTTCTGAGAGGAGGGAGGAAGGATGGCTCTATAGAGATTGCAGCCTTGCAGCAGAGATGCCTTCTTGTCTCTCACATAGGGTGTGCTTCCATTAGACAGTGAAACTTAAGAGGGTGATTGCCTCCTAGGAATTCCTGGGACTTCTAGGTGCAAATCCAGGTGCCCTTATAAAGACACCTTCTGCTCGCTTTGGGTCCAGAAAATACTACTTTTGCAGTGAAAAAATACACATTTACTATGTCAGTTCTTGCCACGAAATGCTGGCCAACTCCACTGCAGGCCTGAGCTGCTCCTGGACGCTGAACTTTCTGCACAGTGTCCGGCAGCTGGGCAAGTACAACCAGAGTGTCTGTTGGCCAGAGGGATGAAAACAGGAAACGAAGCCTCTGTTCCTCACCAGAGTCTGACAGATGACCTGAACCCAGCCTTAGGCTTCAGGGCCTGGAAGCAAGAGGAAGGAGCTGGAGGAAGAGGAGTCATAGAGAAGCCCAGTCCTCTGACTGGTTTCTGGTGAGGTCTCTATTCACCAGTGGGAGGTAAGATGTCCCTTTGTATATTTATCACTTTTATTTCTCAGCTTGGGGAATCAGTGGAGTTGAGTTCCTATAACCTGTTGCTCCTATCAAAAAGGTCTTCCCTCTCCAAAGAGAAAAGCAACACATGATCATTATAGAAAGTCTGGAAAATAGCGAAGACTATAAGGACCACACAAAAAAACCTCAAACCTTCGGAATCCCGCCACACAGATGCAAGCACTATGAACACTTTGCTGCCTTTCATTTTGGGGTGTCCTCACTGTATCTTTTCAAAGCTGAGATCATCCTGGTAGCTCTCGATCCGCAGGATTTAAAATGGTTGTCATCTGTGCAACCATAGTCATGTACACTGAATACTTTAAGCATTCTCTTAACTTGTTGGACATTTCAGTGGATCCATTTTCCCCATTCCCTCCAGGGCAGGATAAACAACCTTATAAAGAAAATTTTATCTGTTTTTCAGGTTATTTCTTCAGGAGAGTTCCAGAAGGGGAATGGCTATGCCTCGGAGCTGTGGAACCTATTTGTTGATGGCTGACATGCTGGCCCTGCTCCCCACATCTCTGTGGAGCAGTGTGAAGGATCTTTGCACCCCCACTTCCAGGGATCCCTCAGCATAGGCCCTGCCTGTTCCCATGGTGCTTCTCACTCTGAATCCTTGCAGCCTCAACTGGGGAAAGAGCGGATGAACAGTGAGCTGGTTTCTGGCCCTCAGGGGGGAGGGGGGTTTGGACTTCCCTTTGACCTCCTTCTTCCTTTCCCAAATTTTTAATATTTGTTGTGATGTAACAGCCACAAGAGCTGTTAAGAGGAACCGTGGGCTTTGGGCACTTTCTTGGGTTGAAAGAGGGGCAGGGGATGGTGGGAAATGCATGCAAGGGTATGAAGGCAGCCCCAAGAACTCCCACGGTCTTGGGGGGAAACCAGTTTGAAATAAACGTGTTATTGTGTTATTGTTGCATTATTGTATCATGATGATAAGAAACTGCTCTGTATGCTAAAGCTTTCTCTCCTCAATAAAAATATAAAGGGTGTGTAAAGATCGTGTCTGTCTGTGTCGTTGAGCAAGCATAGGCATCAGGTACTTCCTAGGCACCCTGCCTGAATCAGCTATACTCTGAAGTTTTGAAATCCTTAGATGAGGAAACTAAGGCCTGCCGAGGTCCAAGGGACTTGCCTTCAGTCCTACACATTTGTAGATGGTGGCTCGTTGGAAGGGAAGTAGAAGGACTGGGCATATTGTGAAAAATAACACTAGTTTTCTATTTGCTGGGAAACAGAGTTTGGGAGGCCCAGCCCATCCTGTGACAGCACCCTTTCCACGCCCAAAACACACACAGAAGACTTTTGAGTGAGAGCGGGTAGGAGCGGCCCTTCCACTTTTTGGCACTAGGTGGTGCTATGGGATGGTAGTGAGCTCTTTAAAGATTGTGAAACAAATCCCAGGAGCTGTCGCTGTTGAGGACCTCCCAGCAAGATCTTACAGCGGGATCTTACTGCCGCTCACAGTCTGTGGGGTCAAGAAGAAACTGAATCCCATGCTGGGATTTGCCCAAGTTTCCCAGCAATGAATTGGACTATTTTTTTTCCTCCCCTGAACAGTTATGAGTGCTGGGCCAGGCGCTTCACATTTCTTATCTTATTTCATCCTGGTAACAATCCTGTGGGACAGTCACTATTCTTATCCTTATTTTAAGGATGAGTATGGTGAGGATACTCTGGCTCAGAGAGAAGTCACTAGCCCAAGGTTGACAGCTAGAGGGTGGCTTCTTCACAGCCCGGAAGCTGTCCATTAGTCAGTTCCTGGACACTCAGCCCCTCTCTGCCCCACCTGACTGATCCTACTGTCTTTGAGTCCAGGCTGTTCTGGTCCTGTCATTCTCCCTTAGCTTACAGGATTCCAGTGGGGAAACAAACCATGGTTTCAGAAGCACATTTGGTCTGCTGTTTTAAGTGGAAGGGAGGGAGAGAGGAAACCAGTGTGTTTCTGACCCCTGCCAGGCAACATCCTCTCATTTCACTGCTACAACAGTTTGGTGAGGCAGGTAATGGTGTTTCCTTTTAGAGCTCAGAGATCTGAATCTCAGATATTAGGTTCTATGGGGGATTGTGGGTCTTAGTGACTCCAAAAACCATACTGTTCTTTCTCTCTCTTTTGACATAGGGTGCATGCACTTGCCAGAGAAAGAGAAAGCACTCCTCAGTGGGGTGTGTGGTCACACTGCAATTCCTGCTCTTCCATTTCTCCATCCTGCTGGGACTTTGGGCATATACATACACACACCCAGTATGTTTTTCAAGCTGCTGGGCCCAGGATTTGAAGCATGATTGGCCATGCAAAATTCAGCTCCCTTGACTAATAGGCCATGGGGCTTGCCCTCGGTCTCAATTCTCAATAGACCATGTTGTCTCCCAGGAAAGGTCCCTCCCCACCAAACTCAGGCCTTGACCTGACTGGCTTCAGGGTCTTTGCCAAAGCAACCACATATGCACCAGGTGCACTATCTCTGGAGGCTCTGGGAGAAGTGGCCAGGTAGCAGTTCTGCCCTGCAGGGAAGGGCATGCTGAGGCAGGTAAACAGCAGTGCTGAGTATGCAGCTGGTTGCCCCTTCGGGAGACAGGCAAGGCTATGGGGCTGCGGGCTGCATCAGTGAGCACGGGCTCCGGTTATGCCTCAGGGGTCCAGATGAGGTCTCCAGCACCCCTGGAATGTCTCATGATATCGGCGGTAGCAATGGGTAAGCCCAACTGCGTAAAGGCCAATCTGAGCAGATAGGGGATAGTAAGAAAAATGGGGTCGGCTTTGCCCCAACCCTGCAGCTAGAAAAGCTGTGGGGGTAGGGGGAAG